TCCCTTCTCTGTGTTTTAGTTCTGCCTTTTCTATCATCAAATCTAAATGTCACTCAACACAAGTCAGAGGGCGTCATGTTGATGTGTACGGTGGCTTCTGCAGGTCACAATCAGCTTGATGCAGTACTTTTGCACAATATTTAAAAAGCAATGCAGATTTTTTTTTATGCATGGCTTTCAATCCACTTATTGTGGTTTCACCCTGCTTGCTTCTCCAGTATATGCAGCTATACAGATGGTGCACTCACAGAGCACTTTCGCCTGGCTAATTTTGCCATGCGGATGCCAATAAGGACGTTCAGCAGGAAAAACTCATTACACAGTGTATCGTGTGTGTGTGTGTGTGTGTGTGCATGATATCTACTTTCTTTGAAATCTCTCTGCACTAAAATACTATCCATTACTAAATAGTGTGTAGTGTACTGTGGTCAAGTATTCAGATGGAAGATCTGCACTCTAAAATCCATCATTGAGGGTTTTCTTTAGGGGGGCTATTGGCTAACAAGAAAGACAAAATTACACACAAAAGACCAACATTTAAAAATCCTTTTCCACAGACTCAAAAGGAAGTGTATAAGATGTGGCCAATGTATTTTTTGTTGTTGTTGTGCCTCAACACATATTATTGAAATAGAGAGAATAAGAAAAGATTTTTTTAAAGCAATATGGTAGTAAAGTCAAGACAATGTGAACCTTTGTTTTTTGTAGTATGAAGCATAATTCTGCCTATTTATGCAAAGCACTGTTTTGTTCACCTTCAAAGCACTCTGTCAACAACCTGAAACAATTCTACTTTCATGACAACATGTATTGATGTCAACTGTATTTTAAAAGACTCTCCTCGTCTGTCAGTAACATTCATGTTTGCTGATTTTATGACAAAGTCGGAGTTGAATGTAGGACTACTTGTCATGATGGCACTCAACAAAAGGAGACGAAACCTTGGAAATTACTTATTCATATAATTATAACAACCCAAAAAGAACTGATGGCATTCAGTCAAATCAACAGCTCAGGCTCACTACGATCAATGTAGAAGGTGTTGGATGGGGTGGAAGTAACGAATTACATTTACTCTCTATGCTGACATAAAGTGGTATTTTTGTGAACTTGCAGGTTTTTTGGAGTATTGTACATCGAGACATTTTCATGTCCGTTAAAGTGTAAAAAACAAAAGTCACATGAGAAACTCCTGATAAAGAATAGAGCGGAAGAAGAAAGCCCCGGAAGTGATACAGTTTTAAGTGGGGTGCGGTCGCACCTGCATTAATCCCTCCATGATGAAGGCCCGCCCTACTCTGCTTCTGATTGGCTTACCGTAGAACCCTAACCAATCACACGCCTCATCCCGAATCCTAGCCAATCCAATCAACAAAGGCAACGCGTACTAGCCAATCACAGGCAGGGTAGGGCGGGGCATATCTCGCTTTAACAAGAATCGTAAATTAGCGGCCCGGATGTGGCTGTTTGAGAACAGTCCAAAATGCCCAATTCAATAAAATTACGAATTATATCGTTATGCATTATCGTTAATATTAGCATTAGTGTATCTCAGCACAGGTGACAGAAGAAAGGTTGCATCTAATTCATTAAAAGTGACCCAAAGTAAACAACAGGTGTATGCATTGAGAATGAACGACCAGAGACGTTGAATCTACAGCAGGTGGAGCTGGAAGGACAGCAGGCAGGTGAGTACATCAACACACTCGTTGATGGATGCAACTCTAGAAGTGAAATCTAAAGGAAATAACACACTCCTTATTTTACAAGTAAAAATAACACATTGACTATAACTACATTTTAGCATTCGTCATTATCCTGTTACTATCGCTTGTGGTCACCGTTACAGATCGACTTTAAGGGAACCTGAGCTATCAGTCTGGGGCTGTCGGTAGTTTCATTTTGGGGCAGGGCTGAGTTGAGTGCTTTTGCAATTACAACAAACGTCAATAAACATGACAACATTCAACACAGTATACTTCTAAAACAGTGGTATGAATTAAATAAGAGAATACATGAAATAGAATATAGATAAGACAAGCTTAAAACAATAAGGAAGGCTACCATGTTGAAATGCCAAAGGTTTTTACAATTCAGATGTTAAATAAAAATACCAAGAATTCCATAAGCTGAAAACAAGTTGTCCACACAGTTGAATAAACCTCCTCCCAGAGGACGTGTCCTCAAATGGGGGAGCTGAGAGATGAATACATAATGGGACAGGACATGATGGAGGAGTTTGAGCTCTGAGCCAGTTTGTGTGTGTGTGTGTGTGTGTGTGTGTGTGTGTGTGTGTGTGTGGTGGTCTAGTTTACCTATACTTGATGGGACTGACTCTTGACACCCCACCAGTCCTGTGCAGATGTTTTTGAACCAGCTCTCGTTCAAAAACTCGTCATTTTTGCTTCTGTGGTTAAGATTAGGGACTGGGGATATTTTTTTATGGTAAGCCAGCAGGAAATGAATGTAAACCAAGGCAATGTTCTCTCAAGTATGGCAAAACCAATGAGTGTGTGTGTGTGTGTGTGTGTGTGTGTGTGTGTGTGTGTGTGTGTGGTGTGTGTGTGTGTGTGTGTGTGTGTGTGTGTGTCTGGTTGCTTGTGTGTTTCAGAGGGTTGGGTTTAGGACTGTAGAGGGGTGAAGTGCCTCCAATCCTTGGGAGTGGAACGCATTTCCCTTTGTTGCCCTCCAATTTTTGACTGGTTTGCCCCAGCACATGAGCATGATGGGGCTGTTTCTATTATCCAGCTTCCCAGACCCCCCCTCCCCTCCCTTCCCCTCCATCCATCCGACCCTGTTCTGCCTGTTCCCAAAGCGATTGGCATTCCTGGGGGCCACCAGTGAAGCAGCTTTAGAGGGAAGGCCCGCCGGCTCCTGGGTGGCCTCTTGTGCACGGGCTCCAAGGGGAGGAGACAATGTCTTATTAATTGACTGGGCGTCTTGGGCAGAGTGCAGGAATTTGCAGAAGGGGGAGATGGAAAAAGTGGGGATGAGGGTTTGAGCTGGGAGGGATGTGTGGGGCGGGACGACCGGGGAGACTCACAGTCCACCATTGGAGATTCATTGACCTCTGTCTCAGATTTATTTCCGTTTGATTCACATTGCTGCGGGGAAGGCGTGAGTCGTAGCGATGTGGATTAACTCTGATTACACCACTACGTTAAGCTCACAGATTTAAGCAGTAATGGTTGATAAACAGCCAAATATAATGACATTAAGTGCTGTGAGCAGTTTTGACAATTGTTGGAAAGTAACTAAGTACGTTCAAATACTGCACTTGTTTCGAGGTAATTCTACTTTACTTAAGCATATTAATTTTATCCTTCTTTGTACTGATATTTGATCAAAAATAACGCACTGTTGATTAAATGTCCTCAAAGTATATAAAGCTGTTAAAAGTAGCCCATCTTGACCAACTACAACATTAGAGCACTGCTTGTATTTTAATGTATAGATGAGTGTATTTTCCTTTTTATATTTGCATGTTGTTGCCAATACCTCTGCTCTTAAATTAAGCTCGGATTTTATTTTGGGGATTTTTCTTGTAATGTATGAAGGCTTTATTGTAGTTTTTTACTTAAATAAATTGCGTGATAATTAAATTCGATATTAGAGAAAACTTTATTTTTCGGCTGAATTTCCTTTAACTTTCAAGCTTATCTAATAAGTTTCATGAATCCGAGCACAGCATAAATGTCTCATCTCATTATTAAAACATAAAAACAATGTACTAGTGATTTGATTTTCGACACACTCGTGTTCTGCAGGTTAAAACATCATGGTGGGCAGTCAGCCGTCCCCCCACAGCAGCCTCCTGGTTTTGTGCATGTGTGATGGAGTGGGACAGGACCGGGGAGGGGTTTGGGGTTGTACTATCTCTCCATGTGGTCCCCCACCCCCCCACCCCCAAGGTGTCCTCACCCTAATCCT